AAAATTAAAATTCAGTAATGAATGCAAAACGAAGATCTCTTTTGACGTTTGAAACCAGCAGCGAGCTTTTAAATTTATTTTTCTTTAATCTGGGCGAAAATCGGGGGCAGGGGAGGGGGTTGCACCGCTATAATTGCTAATAACGGGTACATATATCCATATATGGATGAGAAGTGTAGGCCTTTAGTTTGGGATAGAGTTTTATTTATGTGAAATTTATCCGTGGTATGAATACTAGAGTTTCCTGTTCTCGCCGGCTATGAAAGGAATTTGTGTGGCTAAGTATTAGCAAACAGCAGCATCACTGGGCAACCTAATTTATCACAAGTCATTTAACTTTTCCAAGGGCAGTCAGTTATGAGAATAAAAAGTGGAGACGAAGCAGTCATAGCAATACTGCTTTAATGAAATTCCCCCATAGGCACAAGCAGACTGTGTTCTTTGAGAAAAGCGTGGGAAGCCGCCGCCAGGGGAAGATGATGATTATTGGTGATGGTGCAAAGTTGCGAAGTCATAAAACAGAATCCTAGACTTTTTGAAAAAAAAAAAACAAAACAATAGACAAATAAACAAACATACTTTACAGACTGAGTTGACTTTTTTCTTTTAAGTAGAGTAGTAGAATAAAAGGATTACCAGGATAACATTGCCTGCAGAAATTAACAGGAATTAAGTGGATGCAATAAAAATTCAATTTTAAAAACTCCGAACGATGGCAGGTATTGATAGCTGTAAGATGACCCTTGATAACTGTGAAGCAGGTGTCGGGAAAAAGGAGGATATTTAATTTGAATTTGAGAAGTTATGAAATAGCATGTGCAGCCCTTTTCGCTATTTTCTACCTAAATTTGGTGATAAATATGGAGGGAAATGATGAAAATAACTTGAATAAAATTTAACTATTCTTCAAAAGCCCCGAGTTAAAGCTTACGACCAATTTGAGAATCTTTCCAAACTTCTTATGATTTATTAATTATATTAATACCAGAATTAAAGTAGGGTATTATCGCATGCTAAGTAACTAAAATAGATTATTTCTTTGCAGATGACAGCAGACTACAGCGTGAACATCAACTGCACTAAAAAGAGAACATGGCTTTTTCCATGAGAACGGTGACTTTCATCGTGATGCTTGCATTTGGAATTGGCACCTTGTTGTACGTTGGTATGTCAAATGTTTAGTGCTTTGTTTAGAACTCAAAGTGGTTTAAGAAGGAGACAGTGCATTTTGCAAATGCCATACTTTTAATCCTAGAAATGGCATAGGAAAAAAAATACGTTACTTAATATATTACTTTCTTTTAAAATTTGAAATTTGAATTGAAATAAGAACCGTCAAATTAAAAGAAAATCATGAACCAGCAATAACTTAAAGGGCTTATAAAGGTGCCATTTTGTTTGTCGTGGAAGCCTGTACAGCGCCCCCATCTAACAAAGTAAAAAGTGACAAAAATACATAACTGTCTGTCCTAAGAATGTTATCTGCTTGTATAGACATCTAGCAAAACACCATTAAAAAGTAGTCCATTTAAGAAAGTATAGTTGAGTTGATATTACTTTGGAAAAAATCTATATTTTTAGTCTATGAATATGCATTTCAAAACAACGCCTCAATAAGGCTGAACTTAAGAATAGAGTTTCTTTACATTGAATTGGGAGCAAAATCTCGACATTTTAACCAACTTAATTTCTCTCTTTATCTGTGTGTTAATTCCTCCTCAAAATAGGCTGTCAGCTCAATGCAGGTCTAGGCACTCTACGGCGTCTTCTGTTTCCCGGGCGGTTATTAAAATTCTAAAGCAAACAGTTTTAAAAATTCCTATATGTAAAAGGGGAGAGACAAATGGATTAAATTTCTGAAAAATAAAACAATGTCTTGAACAATGCGGACACAAGCACAAAACGTTTAGCGTATCAGCTGCACCTGACGGAAAAATTTGATTTTCTTTCAATTCTACAATCCTAGACAAAACTTGCTGCCGTGATGCAGAATTATTCCTAATTATCTGTAATTTTTTGGTGCTCTCATAAAACAGCGCTAATGTTGGTAAAATACCTTGCAGTCTCCCCCTCCCCACCCCCCACGTTATATAATGTTGAAACTCGAAATTCTGCATGCACGCGTCCAACGTTGTTTGTCGGGTGGGGGTTTGTGTGGGCTGCTGGCTGGTCCTAGTTACTAATGCGCTGAAGAACATATGCATAGACGTCATAACTTTATGTTAAGCTTGGAATTGAATTTGTAAAAAAAATAGTTTTTTTAAGTGAATTTGTAAACATAAGTGTTCAGCCGATTCATACAGCTGTTTCATGTTTAAGTATTTTGAGACTGTTTCAGTTAAGAAAACGCCAAAACCTTTGCCCAATTCAATACATTTTTCTCTACAGTAGTTGCAACAGAGCACAATCGTATCTTAATGTTCAAGGATCCGGTAGAAGGCAAAGTACTTCCGGGTCACGTGATAAGGACAGAGAAAGTGGCAAATGTAGGAAGCTGCCGTAAGAAGTGTTTCTTGGAGCCTAACTGTGAGTCCATAAATGTGGGTCCTGCCGACCACCAAGGACAGCGCACCTGTGAGTTAAACAACTTTAGAGATGAAAGTCCATCTCAGACTAAGTTGCAGGAAAAGACAGGCCACATTCACTGTTCAATTGAGGTAACACATTACAATACATTAATAATGATATTAATAATAATATTAGCTGGGAAGGGTTCAGAAACATCTTAACTGAGACGATCATCTTATGCGACAAAAACAAAAACGCAAATTCGTTTAACCCTCTGTTCATAGCTGGCACTTTTTTTTGCCTCCTGGGACCGGGGTGAAGGGGGGAAGGGGGTACTTCGGAGGCCCACCTCTATGACTTATAACTTTAAAACCCCTCACGAGAAGGCTACCAAAATTACACAGAATAATGGAGAAGTCATTTCCAGCATCTAGGCATATCTTGATTAACACAATGACGTAATGGACTTTCATCAGTTTTCCCCAGATAAAATGTCTGACAAAATCATGAAGGCCGCTAACACTTTAACAATAGCAGTGACGTTAAGATTACGTCATTTATTATTAACGAAGAAACTGGATTCATCATCCGCAAGCTTGGATCTGCTGTCATTTTGCTTGAAAACAGTATAAATCTGGGCCATTGGATATGAAATTTGATCTATGCATGAAAGGAAGCAAAAAATCTGCAAGTGATAAAATTCCGAGGGAAATGAACAATGTGAAAAATTGAACCCAACATTTGCCATTTGGGATCATTATTAGCCTGTTCACAGACCTTTTTTTTTTTCTCTTCAAAGTCCGTAGAGCGCGGGTGGTAGAAAATAAACGGCAGGGGATTTATTGACCTCCAGCGCAAGGGGGTAGTGGTGGGGGAAGAAGAAAATTTTTTCTCCCGCTCCGCGCTAGTTTTCGAGCGCTCGTTTTGCTCGCGGGTTCGCCAATGTCTTCGAAAAGAACGAAAAGAAAAATAAACCAACGTCTGTGTACAGGCTAGGTCTTTATGGAAAATTCCCGGGCAATTTTAAGTTTGGCGCTCGTCACTTCTTGAACGGTTTTAAATGAAAGTTGTTCAACTTTAACTCAGAATAGCGTTGATATATGTATTGGATAAAACTGAAGCTGGTGATTATTAATGCAAGACAAAAGTACAAGTCAGCAACATAAATTAAGACGTAAAAAAGAAAGAGAGACATCTGCAAATGTTTTGGCAAGTAATCAACATCACTAACAATGATAACCTCGCATCCTATTTTTATAATTGTATAAGTTCATGGATTATCTGGTCTGAGGAGAGAAGATGTTATTGAACAATTAAATTATGTTTTTCAACAGAACTTGTTTCACAGTGTCCCACGCCCTGGAAAGAATTCCATCTGTAAGGTAGGCCAAGGAGATAAGTGCTACCGATGGATTTGCCGTGATGGTTTCAAAGGCGAAAACTGCGACGACGGTAAGCGGGCTCGCCGGTCCGGTTGACTTTGTTGATTTCTGTGTCAATTGGTGTTAGCACATTGTCCTGACTCATAATCCGGACATCCATTTTCTTATTCAACGAACCTCGTGGGCCAGGATTTTATTGGGTTGTTTTCATTCTCCTTGTGATATATTATTGTCTCAAGGCCTAGGTAAGGGTTTAATGGTATCCCGATAATACCTGACGATGGCAGAGTCCTCCGTCATATAGGACTTTTCTTATAGGGTACATTTGCCATCCTGCATTCCACCCATAACCCGAGAGACTACTGTCAGCTTTTTGCGGGCATGCGCATGTCTGCTGATCCCTCATTCCAACCTTGACTGCATATTGCCCATCAGCTGGGATGATTTTCATTTCTTACAAATGTAGCGAGTAGAAAATAAGACCCCCCCCCCCCGCCTCGAGAATGCAATTGTAACTTAAGTACGTATGGCTAATAAAACGCACGAGGTTTGTAGTGTTGTGAGAGTCCGCCATATTGTTCTCGTCTTGTTGTTTTGCGATGTTTGTTTGGGGGCCTGTCCAAGAGAGGAAGAAAACAAACGAAAAAGCATTGAGGAACGAGTTCATGTACTTGCCGGGAACGGTGGCGAATGGTCGCGAGGAGCTGAGGGTAGTGGTTTGATCAAACGAAGAAAACAATGCAGGTCGATGATGCACAAATATATGCAAGTTCAAAGCTACCTTTGCCAGCTTGGTGTGGAGGACCTCAAAGGAATTGCTAAAGACTTAGAATGTAGCCAAAGCGAAGTTGAGGGGGAAAAGGTCGGAAAAAACAGGTGACATTAATCGAACTGCGACTGGAAAATCAGTTGAAATTACAAGGAACTACCGAGGACAAAATAGAGCACTTGGAGGAGTGTAAGACCCAAATTGTGATATAGAGCCCGAAATGTCCGTCACTGGAAAAGCCAGCATTAGGCAATTCTCAGTCACCGCCGAAAAATGGTAAGCACGAATTAAACGATAGTAAGCAGAATTTTGAAGAGAGTAAACAGAAATTGGTAGCCGGAAAATTGTTTTACTTCCAGCCTAGTGATTTCAGAACGGAGCTGAAAATAATTGGCCAGACAGGGAAGCTTGGACAGAAAGAAAAACTAAGCTTTGTGAGCCTAGCGAGACAAATTGAAGGGGCGATAAACAAAGTGTATAAGTCCTCCGAAGTTGTAGATGCTGTTTTATGGCCATTAACTCTAGGATGAGACTGAAAAGTTATTTAGAAGGGCTGGGAGACTTGACTCTGTCTTGGTTAAGACACCTCTTGAGATCTCTTTACCAGGAGAAGAGTGCAACGGAACTTTAACAAAAATTAACAGGAGTAACAGGGGAGTCCACAAAAACTTTCCTATCAGAACTTGGACTCTAAAAAAAGGATCCTTTTTGCCACAAAGTAGAAACTGCACTTAAGTGCGACCCTAACCTGGTTCAGGGGATATTTTCTCTTGCAGTAGATACAAATCTTATGCAGCATTCAATCCGCAGTAGATGAAGGCTCTTTTTACAAATCCGGGGGTACAGGATGAAGACTTAATCAAGCTCACGAATGTCGTGGTGTCATGGGATATGGAGAGGAGATCCAAGTTAGGATCCCCTGACGGTCAAAAAAGTTCCACGGTTAAGAGGTTGATGTATCACGAGTAGAGGGGGTTGCTCAACCGGAAGCGACTGACCTAAAGGTGAAAGTAACTGAGAAAGAGAGGTCGAGGAAAGAGAAGTTCATGGCTGCACCACAAGCTGATCGCCACCCTGAAGCTAGAATCAGTGAAAAGGAATGAAGCTAATCCAGGACGAGTTTCTGAGGCCTCACCAGGATATCAGAATCAGCAGTGGATCAACGACCAATAAGCTGTCCCAGTTGTCAAGCAGGAGGGAGAGGGAAGTTGTGTTACCATTGTCATGTTTGTGGTAGCAGTGATCACTCGGCTCGTGGCTGTCGTCAAAAGGTATAGAAGCAGTGAAAAATCAGGTCAAGAAAACAGACGAGGGCTACAACCGAGGGACGTAAGTAGCCCCACCTAAGGACACCTTCAGTATGTCCCACAAACGTTTGAATTGTCAGAAAGTTGCTACGCCTGGTCAATGCTTTTATGCAGTGCTCAGGATGCAAGGTAGTGCGGTATTGTGGACGTCAATGTCAGAAACGCCATCGCAGCAGTCAAAAGTGCATTTGTCAAGCCATCCAGCAACTGAAGGCAAAAGAGAGCTTCTCAAGTAATACGTGGTGATGCTTGTGTATTTGTCAGTCATCTTACACCCTACAGCAGTAAACAGTAGCCAGGCTTGTTGGTATGAAGTGTTAAGTGTTGTGTATGTTGAGTGGGGGTGACTGTTGAGGTATTTCATAAGTAGGCTGAGGTATTGTGGGATACAGGGACTCAAATGTCCATAGTATAAAAGAGCGGGTTTAGTGAGCATCTACCATCATTACAGTTAAGGAAGATTGAGGATACGTTAGGAAGGGTGAAGGACTGGACTTAAGAGCAGCAAATGGTGGAGTAATACGGGTGGAAGTAGAATTCCAACTTATCCCTGACTTTCAAGCGACTATACTTCTAACAGTACCGATCCTGGCTGCAAGGGACAAGCTGGTGTACCCCATCATTCATGGTTACAATGTTATAGAAGAGATGATCAGGAATAAGGGGCAAGGAGGAAGCAAGGTAGCAATTGTTGACATTATGAGTTTTGCTTTGGTGGATGTGAATGTGGAGAGTGTTAGTGCATAGGTGGAGTTTGTGCAAGATCAAGTTAAAGAAAGCTTGTGTTTTTGAGGAGTTGTATATAAACAGTCTAACAGTACCAGCGGGACAGACCGTGGCGGTACTATGTTGTGTCAGTTGTTGCCCACTAGAGAGAAGAACACCAGCGCTATTTGAGCCAACCCCAGAAGAAACCTGACCTGTTGAATTAGAAGTCTCAGAGCAACTGCTCACATTGCCACGAGGGATACCCAACAGAGTGAACATTACAGTTCTTAGGACGCCACAAGTGAAGCTAGGTGACCTTACTGAGAGCCAGCCAAAAATAGCGATGAAAATGATGACTGAGCAATCCGAATCATTTTCTCAGAATGATGATGATGATGATGATGATGATGATGTGGACTGTATTGAGGGACTGCAATTGAATTTAGAACTGTCAGACACCTCTCCGGTTCAGACGACGTATACTCCTATACCCCGCCCGATGTATGCCGAAGTCAAAGCATTACATTGAAGACTTGATTACATGATTGCTACTCCTCACCAGTTGCATATGAAGTATGGTTCTTGTGAAGGATTGTCATCCAGTTAGGGCACTCCAGTGATCCGAGGAACACTGAAGCTGTCACCAAACTAACAGACTATGGAGACGTTCGAATGAGTTAACAGGTCTGTTGAACTAATACCGCAGATATATTGAGCATTTTTCAAGGATTGCAAAGCCTCTCTATGAAATTTTTAAGGAGCCTGAAATAAAGTGGCCATTCAGCCTGAGAGAGCAACGGGGGAAAGTCAAAATTTTCAAATGCAAAGATGCAGGGATCAGGGGTACCCAACGAGAATATAGTTCAAAACCACTTAAACATAGCATTGTTAAACGTATCTTGGTATTTAAACGGTAGATATAGGCATATGTTTATCCCCTAAAACTTTTTCATCTGTTCGGATTTCCTAGCTGAAAGTCTAGTGATCCGAAAATTATAGGGATCAAAACTTACCTTTTCGAAAATTTCAGCCAGAAAAAAGGCTACCGAAAATTCTAGGTGACCTTTTTCGGGTAAAAAATCCGTTAAAATAGGCAATTATACCATTTTTTAGATGTTCGAAAATCCTAGGAGAAGCAGGCAAGCAAGAAATTTTACAACAAATGTTCCGAAAATTCTAGTTCTCAAATCGTCTTCCGAACAGATATTTTTCCGAAAATTGTCGTTGGGTGCCCCTGAGGGATCATCCCGTGATATGCGACCACCCACAAGTCCGCTAGAACAACAGCCAACAACAATTAATTTATATCAAGGTTTGGGTTTCCTGCCAGAATTTAGCACGACCAAGCAGATGAATTTACAAATCAGCTTTTCCATCGTTTAGAGGGATGCTGTGGTATGATGCGATCCAGAACAACACCCTACCATCCCAAAGGAATGGGAAAAAAAGAGAGGCTCAACCAGACACTTCTATCCATGTTACGCACCTCGCCAGAAAACCAGAAATCTCGATGGAAGGACAGTCTTAATAAATTTATACAAGCCTATTATTGCCCCTGTGATGAGACCACTGGATTCTCTCGTTATTACCTGTTGTGTGGTCAGTCCCCAAGACTTCCGATTCATCCTATTTTAGAATTAAGCCTGCTTCTCCCACAGAATATTCAGCTTATGTCAGACAATGGAAAATAGCCATGAAGGAGGCTCACGAGTTAGCAGCAAATAGATCTAGATTATCTGAGATGAAAGGAAAGAAGCATCATGAGCGCAAGGGTCATAGTCCTGTTCTACGGCCAGATTCAGTAAGAAATGTACCTGAAAGAGGAAGATCTGCAAAATTGCGATCTTACTGGGAAGAGGCAATTTATCGACTAATCAAGCGGAAAGGAGAAGAGAGCCCATTTACGAAGTTGAACGTTGAACCTGAATCAGGCGAAGGACTGCGTCGTGTGATACACAGCAGGCTGATACTTCCATGCAATGACTTAACCTTTAAAAGAAAAACAGAGGATCCAGCCAGGAGATCGAAGCAGAAAAGGAAAATTACCAGACCAGCTGTTTTGTCCACCCCCAGCCCAGCCTCGGAAATCAGTTCAGATGAAGAGGCTTAGGGTATGCTGACCTTAACGGCAGTGGGAAAAGGGACTGCCCCACATCAGAAACCTGTCGTCGAGGATCCAGTGGCAAATGACGAATTTTCCCAGCAGTCAGTTGAGCAAGAAATACCAGCACCCACAGAACCAGGAGATGAACGCAAGCAAGCAAAAGGATTTCGTAATCCTTTCATTCGGAATGTGCACCGCGTTAAACAAAGAAATAAATAAGTAAATAAGAGAAACCGAACGTGTCTAGATCAAAATTGGAGATAAAAATTAACAGCACAGCACAGCTAATTTGATCTATGAAATATTTAGAAAAGAAAAAGACTAATCTTGAAGAAAAGGATCTTCCCTCGCCTCCAAGTCGCACTAAAGTGTTACAAAAGTTTTCAAGAAACTGTGCAACGCAAATATTCGTTAACATCAACTGAACATGAACAGACAGTGTAACGTTCAAATAAAATTCGAAACAAAAAGGTAACGTTACATGTGCTCCCTCTTCCTTAGTGCATGGGTTCGGATCCTACTGTCTACCATAATCATTTTTTAAATTGAAGAGACTAGCACTTCCACGAACATTTCCAGCTTGAAATATCATCTAAGTGTGATATAAAAAGCAGAAAGAAGTTCTACCTTGTGTAAATTTCATATGTGGAAAAAGGGGCTCCGGCCAATGGGATCTAATGCTGACCATTTAAAGATGACTCAGGGCAAGGATTCCGTACGGATTAGGTGTGCCGTCTTGCTCGCTCACTTCACGATCTCTCGCGCGGCGGCAAAATCGCAAAAAGCGCACAAGGTCTGTCTTGTTGCTAGAGTCCTCCATATTTGTCTAATCTTATTGTTTTGCTATCGGCTTACATTTGTCAACGCTATCAGCTTAAATTTAGAACAACCTCCTTGCTTGAAATGGTCTTCATTCGGCTAAAAGCTTAATACCTTGTTTTTTTGTTTTGTTTTTTAGTTTTCATTTTTTTTTATTCATCCTTGTAGACATCAATGAATGTAAGGACGGATTACACAACTGTGGCGATGTGTCCAATTGTGAGAATATCCATGGATCTTTCAACTGCATTTGCAAAATTGATACAAAAATACAAAGGTAAATGATACTGACATGAATGATAGCTGAGACCTAATTCTATTTTAGCAATTATTGAATAAGGCTGAGTGTGACGTGAAGAATTATGCAGATCGAGGTGGTGGATATTATCCATCGAGGCTGAAGGCGCAGTTTTTCGCCATACGAAAGCAGAATTTGGTAATTATTTTTATTCCTTCAAAGTATTTTAAGTCCTTAAAAAGGTTACCTCCTCGTAAACTTTCTTTTAAAGCTTTGGCCCGTTTCTTGGCATGGTATCAGGATATAAACAGACGTATTTTTTTCGTGCAGAAACTCCTCAAAAGGTAGACAACATCTATCGAGTAATATGCATTGTGTGTGACTCTTGTGTATTCTCCTTTTTTATTCGTCCATTCATCAGTAAAGTCAAAAGTCAGCTATCTCCTCCTCGGATAGCTCTGAACGTCATGTTTTTTCATTTACTCATGAATAAACAGCTCGGCGGCCGCGCATGTATACGAGGTTGGTCGATGGTATATTGCTTAAGCAGCCTCGTTTCCAGGCCAAGATTTTGATCAATCTCGTCTCCAAACAAATACACTATTAAATCGATGGAGTATTGTTTTCATTTTTCATTATTTGGCATCGTAAAGAATGACGTGAGATATCCGAGAGCTTTAAGCGCGCTCCGAGTGGCAGATTTGAAAGGATACCTTGTAGGCTTTAATATGTTGCTCGTAAGAAGATTTTACAACTGAATCCAAGAATTAAAACTTAGCCTTGTTTTATGTTGTGATCAGTTAAAATGGATCCAAATTTAAATGATTATCACATGGTGGTCCTCAAGCGTCAGTTGCATATGAAAAATTAGCCTGGGGGATGAATGAACATTAATGAACTCTATATGTTGAGTTGTTTTTCGCCATTTTGTCTTTGTTATGTTTTCCTTCCCTTTTTTTTTTATTCTCTACTTGCTATTTTTATGGATTAAGTGTAACGTGTTCTACAACCCTGCAACAAACCTTAATTAACCATAATACAATAGAAGTAAGAATAGTTTAGGTTTTGCATGCGGCTGACCCATCGTGAAATACAAAAACTCAAAAAAAAAAAAGAACAGATATGTAGAGTTTTAAAAAGCAAATTAATTAATCGTTTCAAAATAATCTTCAGCAGATTCATCAGCAGCAAATGCTCTAAAGACGTCAACAGCATCATTAGCAAGTCAACTGTGCAGGTATTTTCTTGGATCAGGATTAGCTGGAACAAAGTGGATCCATCTATACCGTTTAGTACTTTCACAATAATGTTATATTCATTATCTCATATCTTTCCCTGGCAAGCTTTTCTAATTTCACAAAAGTAGCAACTTGTTCATCACGACATCATTACTGCTATTGTGGAAGAATAAAATCTTAGTATTTTTTTCTATAATATTTATTCTATTTGGCAAATGTATAAAATAAAATAAAGTTATTTTTTGTTAGCCAACTTTTTATTTTATCAAACTCTTAAATAGTAAGGTGTTTAATAAATAAGAAGTTGGGTAACAAAAAAAAAACTAACTTTATTTTTTTATTTATTACTTTTTTTTTTTTTTTTAATTTACTTAATGGGATAATAAAAAAAAATATTAGAGCACGACTTCCAGTGAACAATATCTGAAATAATCGCGTCCCTCGAATGATCGTCTCTAATAATAATGACGATGAGAATGGCAATCGCCCCGGGCTATTATTCGAGGAAATGCGATACATCCTGAACCAACATTTATAGTGTTTCGGGGAACCTCTTCGGTGGAAGACAAATATAAGTATACAAGCTAAAAGCGCGGGACCCAGCCAACAAGTCCGTTAATTTGTCAACTAATTACACAGCGTAACTGAGGTCAATTGATAGTATAGCTTGTTAAACTCTCTAAACCTAGATCTTCAAATTACCAGGAATTACGATAAACGGGTCCTGTGCCCACAATGGCTGGAGGGTTTCTTTGGTGTTTTATTTATTTCTTTTATTTTTATTTTTTCACTTTTTGTTAATTGTTATCATCTCTCATTAAAGCGTATCTCTATCTTTGAGCATAATGAAACAATTTAACATTTTGTCTCTTTTTTCTCCAATTATGCAGTGTCATCGCCAACTATGACAACTGTCACTAGCCCATCAGCAGCCTCATCGAGTTCCTCAACAACTGCCTCAATGCAGCCGACAAGTCCAGGCATGTTCTTAAAAGCGCTAGCACACCATATTCCAACATTTTCCATATTGCTGCAAGAAAGAAGTCTTAGGAAATCTGAACACATCATAGAATAATAAAAAACAAACAAACAGAAAACAAAAACAAACAAATAACAACAACAATAACATCAATGATCGGCTCTAGATCGGTTATAGACTGTTTTGCTCAATTGGAAAAGTACCGGCGTGCCCCCAAGCAGTTGGACGTGGCATCTAACCGGCCTTTGGTCTTTCAAAAATGGTATATGCGGGCTGTGTTTTCGATCATGTCGCAATTCACATGATTTAACATTTTCTTTCTTTTTTCTCCAATTTTGCAGTGCCATCGCCACCTATGACAACTGTCATTAGCCCATCAGCAGCAACATCGAGTACCTTAACAACTATCTCAATGCACCCGACAAGTCCAGGTATGTTCTTAAAAGCATACCATATTCCTGCATGTTCATCATTGCAGCAACAGGGGTCTTTTTTGCATGAGCATGCGCGACCGCTGAACAAGCGATATGCATGGAGGCTCACCACAGGGTTTGCCTTCATCAAAATGGCGCGTCTCAAAGCTATCATAGCGATTATTTTGCTCGTTGGTCTTGGCGAATGTGCTCGTGATTTAACAAAATGTGTAGTTTGCAAAAAAACACTCTAACATGGTCTTAACAAAAGCGAAGTAGAAATCGAGAAACTGATTTACATGCGATTTATAGACAAACACTAAATAAAGAACATTTTGCTCAATAGCTACGCATCAGGAATCAAGACACGAGTCGAGCAACAAACAACAACAAGCAGCCATGTTCGTGTCAGACATCCTTGAGAAACTTGCTCTTTCACCTCCTTCAGCGCATCAGTCTCCACGTTAAATCAACAGATCTTTACTTATTTTGTACAACGAAGGTCTTTCCTAAGTTCCTGCTACCATTTCAATCTCGAGCAAGCTTTCAAAGTGAACAATTTAATTTCTATGACTATGCAGCACAGTCGCTGTCACTGGTCGCGTGCTCTTTGACAAGTCAGCGGTCGCGCATGCTCATGCAAAAAAGACCTCTGTTCATTGAAGCATGAAACAAGTCTTAGGAAATCTCAACACGTGATATAATAATAATAATAATAATAATAATAATAATAACAAACAAAAAACTAAACAGAAAACCAAAAAAACAACAATAATATCAAGTATCGGCTCTAGATCGGTTATAGACTAAGCAGATGGACGTGGGATCTAACCGACCGTTGGTCTTTCAAAAATTGGTATGTGCGGGCTGTGTTTTGGATCATGTTGCAGTTCACATGATCGCGGCCTTGGGCGGTTACATTAAGCTGTCTCATAAAGAAGAAATTTGAAGATTCATTTTTGTTGAAGATACTGAATTTATCTGATTAAGCACCCAACCTCGAATTTGCGCCCACTTCCAATAAGCGCCCATCCTGTAGGGAGGAAAAGTTGATAGGCGTGTAGTCTCAAATAAGCGCCCACCCCAACCACCACCACCACACTTCCCCCTCTCCAAAAAAAGAAACTGAAGTAGACAAAAAGAGTATTGGTTACATTTTCTGACTATCCTTTCTGCTTCTCGTCGTCTGATCCATTTGGAGACGTTACACTGTGAGACATCTACGAGGCAACACCAGCGCTTTTTGCTGTCCACATTTTCCAAGTAATACTGCACCTTGTTTACCGCAAACATTTTGTGCCTAAGCCTTGTTTAAAATTTCCCTTGGAAAACCTGCAAGATACCCAGGAGAAACTGGAAACAATGGAAATGCAAAATATTGGAAGGTAAACAAGGTTATTATGGCAATGTGAAAATGGTAAATGTCTATGAAGAATTCAACATGGCGTAGAAAGTGAATAGCCTTGTTATGACATTATCCCATCAGACCGTTGCATGTTGTGTATATTGTATATGTTGTGTAAAAAAACGGTACCGTAAGAAAGCTGTTTTTTTTACACTGATATGTATTTGTAAAAGGACGGCTTTTTTACAAAATATATTTTTGTAAAAAAACGGTCATACTCCAAATGTTGCTGGCGAATTCAGCTAGTGTTCATATTAAAGTTGTTCAGCCTTTACAAGTGTTTTCTGGCTTTTTTCTCGATCTCTAAAACAAAGCACGCATTGGCGTACGTTACAGACCGCCTTTATAGTCCCTAATTCTTATAAACAAATCGGCTGCTGTTTTTATGGCCTTACAAGTTGCTCCGTGTATTGCAAAAATTAGACTAATAAGCGAGTGTATGTGCGCTTGTAGCTATAGGCGAACGTTTCCTTTTGCTTCATTAGCCGACTGAACATGTTCCTACATCACGCTGGAAACTTAAGTTGTAACGCAGACATGACACTCTTGCATGCATCAACATGGATTTCAACATAGCATGAATCCCTGTGATAGAAATCTATTTCAACATAATACAAGAAATTGTCTAACAGTTGCTGTCGTTCTTGATACCGACTAGTGTCAGAACTGTGCACGTGCAATGCTCAGTTCTTAAAACAGTGTTGTGCCCTTGCAAACACCAATGACTCACGTTATAGCCAAGTGTTTTGTTGACAGTTAAAGCGATTATTGCAGCTGATAACCTTGGGAAAATAGATATATAATACAGAACAATATTCTGTACAGTTTTCTGCTTTAACAAAAGTAGCAATGAAAGAAAGAACGGAAGGCTTTGATTGCTGCAAGAGATTGTGACTGGCATTGCTTATAAATAAGACAGTGAATAACGCAGCTATTCTATTATTGCCTAGCATGCAGTTACTGCCGTATGTGACTTCGGCCAATAAGTATAACGAATGAAATTACTGCTCGTTCCTTCTTCGAATGTTACAGAAAACAGCCCGTCTTCGATAAATGAGTTTGTCAATGGTCTAAATTAAAGGAAGAGCATGAACCTCTTTTTTTCACGAACATTTATATGTGTAAAACGCAGGATTTTTACATAAAAAGGCAGCTTTCTCACAAAAATATATTTTTGTAAAAAAGCAGTATTTTTACAACCGGTTAACTTGTAAAAAAGCAGCTTTTTTTACGTAAAAAAGTTGCTTTTTTACAAAAAAATAATTTTTGTAAATAAGCAGTATTTTTACAACCGTTCAATTTGTAAAAAAGCAGCTTTTTTACATAAAAATGACGCTTTCTTAGAAGGATTGTATTTTATGCAGCATACATATATAAATTTAAAGTATGCATAATGTATACATCAGGTTCAGTGCTTGAGAGGAGCCCCGTATGAATCACCTGCCGCTCCGATGACGTATAATGCGAGTACTGACTGTGTTAAATTCGGCGTTTTTGCCGCAAAAAATTAAAACTGCCGTATTAAACTGATTCGGACCCTGCTCTTTTACGGCGGCGTCTGAATCGGGCCTTAGCTTTTCGTTTTTCCCCGTGATGGTATCATTACGTCAATTCAGTTTTTAGAAGAAGAGAATAGGGAAGTAACGACCAAAGAGAACTGGAAAATGAAAAATGGGAACCAAACTTAACTTAGACCCTAGCCCTATCAGTAAATTCATTACTCAATCTCTTTTTGTCGTTCCTATTTTCATTTTCGTTGCCCTTGCTCGTTAGCCGTTCCCAGTTCTTTGTTTTAGTAACATCGGATGTTAGGAGGGACAAGAGGAACCCGCAATCCTAAAATCTAGGTGGTTATTACGTATGCACCGCATATCACTGACGTGGAGCCAGCTTCATTTTGTCTTCCACTAAGGGCGATTTCCATTTGTTAGAACAGATTGGCCAGACCATTCCAGACTTCCAGAATTTCACTTTTAATCAAAACTATCCAGCCAGATCAGTCAGATCCCAAATATCGTGCATGAAGGAAATGGGGTTTCAACAAAACTCTTGGGAAAAAAAAAAAAAAATTCATTTTCAAAATGACTGGCCCGGCTATGGTCCCGCCGGCCTGTTCTGACTTTTGGGTAAGCGACCTAAGATTAGGGAGTTTAACCATCGACGACGGCGACGGCAGCGAAAACGTCACTTTTAAAATGAATTAGCGTTTTTTCAAACTTTGTCGCGTTTATTCCAATTCGCTGAAAATGTCTAATGCAGGCAAATTTCCCTGGATTTGATTTCCTGGGGACCGCACTCAAGTTTAGAAAGAGAAAGAAAATTTCGTCGTCGCTTGTTTACGCGCGTCCTCCATTAAACATGAGGTTAGGCATTTTCACGTGGTAGTCGTGCAGTAACGGCAAAGAAATGTACAAAAAAGCGTAATGCACATGCAAACTTGTTGTTTTGCTTAATAAATTAACCTATTGCTATTTTGACGTTCTCGTTGAGGTCGCCATCGTCGTTGCTAAAACTCTTTATGAATGGAATGCATTGAACGCAATCTGATCACACGCGTTTGGACCTTCTGTCACTCGGAATTTAATCACACATTGTTTTGGAGCAAAGCGTTTTTATCTTCGATCTTTGTCGCCCGCACTCTGTAACCTTCGGTTATTACTAGTTTCAGCTAATTTTATGTTTTTGGTTTTCCTTCTTCTATTGTTTCTTAACTCAGCTTGTCAACAAGGGTGGATTGGCAACGGGAAGTCGTGTTATAAATTGTTTACGTCTTCTAAAACTTGGGAAAACGCGAAGGAGGAATGCGAAAAATGGCATGCCGGTTTGGTAAAGGTTGAATCTCGTGAAGAAAATGATTTCATAAAAACGAAACTTTTGCCGACCGACAAAAAGGAAAATTACTGGATTGGGCTTTCTGACTCTGACAATGAAAATGACTGGAAGTGGACGGACGGAACTCGATTGGATTTGGATGGGTACAAAAACTGGAGAGGTCACGAACCGGACAATCACAACGGTAACGAGGATTGTGTGGCAATAGTAAGGATAAGCACCGATCCATACCATTACGGGAAGTGGTCTGATATTTCATGCTCGCTGGAAAGGAAATATATTTGTGAAAATCCATAGCATGTTGGATAGGATGTCGCTAAGTTAAATGTGTTTGTCAACATGAGCAGAGGTTACAGAAACTAGCATAATTATTGGCATCATAATTTTAGGAATATACAAGCACTGCTAGTAACATATGATATGATAATTTTGCGAGCACAATCTATAAAAAAAGTGTACGCGCTATGACTGGCCTGTTAAAAAAGCCATTGTCCATTCGCCAATTATAAAGTTGAAAGGAATTTCGAAATGCACGTCCAATGATTCGTTGAGTTCGTCGGGTGCTCAGAACAAGGACGTTACTAACTGGGGATAAATTAAGTCTGCGACGCAGGCTAAATGAGAGCCCGCAAACCAACCTTGTCCCCAGGGCCCTTTCCCTGGCTTTGCAGGTGGAAGCCAGGGAAAAGCGCCCTGGGGAAGAGGTTACCCGCCAACAAGGACATCTTCTGTGGAAAAGCATGACGTTTTAGATTAAGCGTCAGCATGTTTTGCTTTCTTTTATGCTTTTGCTTGTTTTGAATTTTTCCTTTGTTTGCTGCTTCCTTTTCTTTTTTCTTGAAATTGCCCTTTTCATTTTTATTTCACTTTGGGTTGTTTCATTCATGTTGTTTCATGCAACGTTTGCATGCCATAATGTAGGCCGCTATTTCAGGAACCAAAACACTGGAATTTCTTTTGGCTTAACGATGCCTTAGTTTTATCAAGAAAATATTTCCCTTGGTCTCATACAGTCCTGTGCCGGCGTCGTTTTACTTTATTTCTGCGTGTAATTTGCACTATATGTGGCAGATCCAGACCTTCGGGCCTTCGGACCTCAGCTTGGTCTAAGAAAAAAGGGGAAGGGGGCTCCCCCGGGCCCCTCCCCTGGCTCCGCCACTGCCGTTTTTTTGGTAAGGGGCCAACTGTTTTACCAGCATTCACCAAAAAGCGATATTGTTTCTATTTACAAGACCAAAATTTACTAATATTATTGATGAATACGCCAAACATTTAAGTAAAATAGTATCATTTAATATTTAGGCAATAGAAAACTTTTTCTCGTCTTTGCATTGCAGTCTGATAGTAAACAACAGCAGAGAGGCGGAGAATAGGCCATTTCCGTTTTCCTTTCACTTTTCAGTTTTGTAATCCCAATGAGGTATAAATAACAAAAGCCACAGTTTGCACAAGAAAGCAAAACCCTGATTAGAGGTATTCTGCTTGCAGTAGTAAAATGACTTCATCATGCAAATGGCCTATTCAAGACAAAGACACATATGCAAACGCGAGATGAAGTCGAGGGCTTGCATAACTTTCGAAAACCGCCCTTATAAAAATTAATAACTTAAAATCCTCTCAAATAAGCTAACTTCCAATCTTAGACGGTATTTTTTGTTAACTAAACGGTCACCTTTTACGTGGCTGCAAAGGGTCAAGAATAATGAATGCGATATAACAAAATAAATCATCCCTTTGTATACGGATACTCATGAATAGCTTAGGTATAGGCCTGGTCAACGTTGCTGAACACGGTGGCTAAGGTCCCGGCCACACATATCATATTTTTGAATCCGGAAACTTTTCTTTGCGGATTCAAAAGCTACTACGCCCACATGTAAGTAGTTATGGAAATGGGTAGTCTGACGCATTACAAAATCTCAGATAAATGCTTTAAACAAACCTCTGGTTGTAAAGATTTTGTAAGAGAATTTCTTTACATAAGATATATTAATAATAAATGTTTTGAGTTTTTGAAAATGTTAAATGAAGATGAAACAAATTATGAAGATATTTTTTGGAGTTCTAAAGCAAAAGAACTTACTAAAATCTTTAAAGATTTTTTGCAGGTAAAAATGAAATGCAAATTTCAAAATATTAGCAAATTAAAGTTTAAATATTTTGATGTTAATAACATAGAAATTTTAGAAGAACAACTGGATAATTTTAGAGATTTATATGTAGATCCAGATAGTTATGAGTTTGATGAGGAATCTTATGAATTAAATATTGATATTAACTTTCTAGGTTTTAGAGAGCTTTTTAAATTGATTTGTTTATTTAATGATAAAATAAAAAAAGAAGAACCTATTATTAATTGGATTTCTGAAAGTGATAGTGATAGTGATAGTGATTAAATAAAGGCTTAAAGTCTTATAATCTAATTATAAGATTATAAGACGTCATGTCTAACCAAGAAAATGGTTCGTGGGGTAGTACACCCTTTGTAACAGATAAAGAATTTCAGAATTTGTCTTTAGATGAAATAAGACATTTAATAGAAGAAGAAAAAGAAGGACTTAAGAAAGATTATAAGGAATTAGAATCAAGAAAAAGATTAATTAAACAACATAACAAATTGGTAAAAGCTAGAGAAAAAGTAAGAAAAGGTATTGATATAAAAAAAGAAATTAAAAAACTTAAACCCACCGTTGTGGAGTCGCCTCCTTCTAAAAAGAAAAAGATAAAAACATTTGATGAGTATTTTGAGGAATGTATAAAAAATAGAGAGATTCCTAAAGATACACCTTCTTATTTACGTAAAGCTCTTGAGCGTGCTATTTTGAACATTATGAATTAGGACTTGAAAAAGAAAAATCAGCTCTTGAAGAATTTGCTGTTAAATATATTATTAGAGGAATTTTTGGTCTTACTCCAATGCAGTTTTTTGAGCGTATCTATAAAAATTTAAAAGATTTTTTACATATCATCGAAATATAAAATTTAAGATGGTATTGGTTTGTATTATGGAAAAACAAAATATTTCACAAAGTGCTGGTGTTATAGGTATAGAAGAAGATAAAACTTATTTTAATACAGCAACACATATTAACATTAAATCAACAGATGTTGACAAATTAATTCAAATATGTATAGATGATATTGATGCAAAAATTGAAGCTTATCAAGAAGCTGGAAGTGCATGGTATTTTAAAGAAGTTGATAAACTTGAAATTCATAGTGTTGAATATAATCCAACAAAGGGTCTTCTTACATCCCTCTTCCTGATTGGATATCAAATAAAAAGCAATAGTTAATATTAAAACAAAGATGAAAAATGTTTTCTTTGGTGTATACTTAGATATCTTTATCCAAGAGATAGAGATGAGGAAAGATTAACAGATTTGAAAAAATATGAAAATTCTCTTAACACTAAAGGAATTACTTTTCCTATGAAATTAAAAGATATTTGCAAATTTGAAAACTTAATCCAGGACTTCCAGGAATTAATGTTTTTCAGTTAATGAAAGTGACAATTTTATCCTTTGAAAATGGTAGAGAAAGACTGTATAAATACTATTGACTTATTTTTATACGAAAAAGATTGTGTTTCACATTACTCACTATTTAAAAATTTTACTCGTTTGATTAAGTCTCAAAACCAAAAGTAAGGAAAAATATTTATTTGTAAGAAGTGTTTTACTCATTACACTAAAGAAGAATTATTACAAAAACATATCTTATATTGTTCAAATAATGAAACAGTTTCTGTAAAATGCCTCAACCAAACACAATGTTACATTTCAAAAAACTACTACAAACAGTTGCCAGTTCCTTTTGTAGTTTATGCAGATTTTGAATGTTTTACCAAGCCAATGCATAATTGCAGTCCTAACCCAGAAGATTCTTATACTTACAAATACCAAAAGCATGAACCATCAGGATTTTGTTTATACATTAAAGGAATAGTACCAAATATAACAATTAAACCAATTACTTATACAAAAACCAATAGTGATGATAATGTAGCTGAGATATTTGTAAATAAACTTGCAGAAGTAACTAAAAGTATTTATAACGATTTTTATCGTAAACCAAAACCTCTTCGTTTAACAAAAGAAGAACAAATATCATTTAATAAAGAGAAATTCTGCCACATTTGTAAGATGGAATTAAAAAAGGATAAAGTTAGAGATCATTGTCATTTTACTGGTAAATACCGTGGAGCTGCTCATAACAGTTGCAATCTCCAGTGTAGGAAGCCAATGATTCTTCCAGTTATATTTCATAATCTACAAGGGTATGATGCACATTTGTTTATAAAACAACTTGCTTGTTTACCAGGTGAGTTAAACTGTATTCCATCGACAGAGGAAAAAAATTTCTTTTTCGAAAAAAATTAAGGTTGATGAGTATAAATCTAGACGAACTGGAGAAATGGTTTCATTGAATTTTGAAGTACGATTTATAGATTCACTAAAATTTCTTCAATCATCACTTGCTAATCTTGTTGGAAATTTACAACCAGAAGATTTTTTTAATACAAAAAAAATATTTAAGAAGAATGTAGATCTACTAACTCGTAAAGGTGTCTATCCTTATGATTATGTCTCATCACTTGAAAAATTATTAGAAACCAGATTACCACCTAAAGAAGAATTTTATTCCCAACTTTATGATGAAGATATATCAGATGAAGATTACCAACACGCAATAAATGTTTGGAATACTTTTGATTGTACGACAATAAGAGATAACCACGATCTTTACCTAAAGTCTGATGTATTACTGCTAGCAGATGTATTTGAAAACTTTAGAGCAACTTGTCTCAAACATTACAAATTAGATCCAGCCCATTATTATACATCCCCAGGTTTAGCTTGGGATGCATGTCTAAAAGAAACAGGACAACAATTACAATTATTACATGATTATGATATGTTAATGATGTTTGAGCAAGGTATACGTGGTGGGATAACACACATATCAAAAAGATATGCAGAAGCGAATAACAAATATATGAAAGATTTCAATCCTGATAATGAGTCTACTTTTATTCAATATCTGGATGCAAACAATCTTTACGGTTGGGCAATGACTCAACAGCTTCCAACACATGGATTTAAATGGATGAAAGATATAACAGAAGAAAAGGTAATGGAAATTCTAGAGAAAGCAAATCATAGTATGTCTAATCTTGGAAGAAAAGGTTATATATTTGAAGTAGATTTAGAATATCCTTCCAAACTATGGGAATCTCACAATGACTATCCACTTGCGCCTGAAAAGATGATTGTTAATGGTGTAAAAAAAACTAATTTGTCATTTTAAACCAAGAAAAACTATGTTGTACATTATCGGAATCTAAGGCAATATCTTGAGATGGGAAATGAAAATAACTGCTGTTCACAGAGGTATATCATTTTACCAAAGTTCTTGGATGGAACTTACATATAAGAAAGAATACAGAACTTCGAAAAACAGCAGCCAACAATTTTGAAAAGACTTTTTAAATTAATGAATAATAGCGTTTTTGGTAAAACAATAGAAAACATAAGAAAAAGACAAAAATATAATTTTAGTGGATAATCGTAAAAAGCAGAAAAATTAACAAGTCGTCCAAACTTTGAAAGAGCAACAATATTTGATAAAAATCTTATTGCAGTACATATGAAAAGACTGAAGTTTATTTTTAATAAACCTGTATATGTTGGACAAGCAATTCTAGATTTGTCAAAAACATTAATGTTTGATTTTAATTACAACTATATTAAAAAGAAATATAAAAACAGGGCTGAGTTAATGTTTACAGATACAGACTCACTTTTATACCAAATTCATACTGATGATTTTTACAAGGATATATCCTATGATATAAAAAGAAAAGTTTGACACATCTGATTATCCTCCCAACCATAAATCTGGAATACTAACAGGATTTAACAAAAAAAGTAATTGAATGTTTAAAATATGAAGTAGCTGGTAGACAGATTACACACTTTGTTGGTCTTCGTCCAAAGCTTTATAGTTTCAAGGTAGAGGATGGTAGTTTAACCAAAAAGTGTAAAGGTGTAAAGAAAAATGTTGTAAAAAAAATAAAATAGAATTTGAAGACTATGTAGAATGTTTATTTTCGGGTGAAAGACAAATGAGAAATATGAAAATTATAAGAAGTGAAAATCATGATATATATTCGAAGGAAGTAAATAAAGTAGCATTGAGTAACGAAGATGATAAGCGTGTTGTAATGGAGGACAAAGTGAATACGATGGCTTTAAGATAAAAAGATAATAATAAATGACTTACACAGAAGAAGAAATAGAAAAATATTTGAAAATATTAAAAAGTTACAAAAATAACCAATCAGAAAATAAAGAAAATAAAGTTAGATGTAGTAATTGTCAAAACGATAGTTTTACTATTGAATTAGGTCAAAATGTTTGTGAGGAATGTGGATTAATTAATGGTCATGTTCTGGTTACTTTGACATTAAAAAGAACAAGATCGATTTCATTTCAAAAAAAGGAGTATTTATAATAGAAAGTATCACTATGAGAAAAAGGTTGATCAAATATTTAAAGACTACATCTAACTGATGATGAAAAATGTCAACTTTACAGTAAACTAATGAATATAGATAACAATGTTATGGAAATACTAAACAAACAATTTTGTAGAAAGAGAATGATAAATATTTTATTTGATTAAGAAACTTTTTAAAGAAATGGGTTGTGAAAAGTATCAACTAGTTTATTTAAAAATTAGTCCACAGACTTTTGAAAATTATGAAAAGTGGTGGAATAGTTACAAATCACTAAAGTAATATATCCCATATATAA